CAGTTATGATAAAAGAATCAACCTTTAAACTCTGGCGAACGGACAGAGCAGAGGTTCAGCCCTCAGTGTAGCTAGATGTAGTATGACCGGAAGATTATCCACAGAATAACAGGTAAAATATTAGAAGTTTTGAATAGGAAGATGTAATCAGTTACTGAGAAATTGGTGAATTTGACCAAAGAACAATCTTTGTCGTGAGGACCTATTCCCCTCTCCCACTCCCAAGATATTTTATTGCTCATCTTTTCTTAAAAACAGAGCAAGCGAAGGTAGAACTAAAACAATCGTAGGTTCTATACAAGTATATTTGTTGTGGTCTGTTCCTAGTTTTCTCCTTGTTCCTTAGTATGGAACTTTTCATTTTGAAAATTCATAACCCCGCAGTAATGCCCCCCCCTCAAAATTTAAAACCCCACCAAAATATACTCTCCTAAAAATTGTTGATAACACAAGTTGCGCCACCAAACTCCCTTCTGGGCACTTCTGATTTGTTTATATCAATCCTAATAAATGAGTATATAATTATGCCATTTAGTATTAAGTTTCAAAAAATCAGAAGGTAATTACCATGATATCAGGCTAAATCAAAGGATTGAAGGGAAGTTCAGGAAAGAAAATGTTATATAACGATATATGATTTATATTTTATGAAATATTATAGTATAACAAAAATAATATTATATTATTAATATAAAATAGTGTTATATGTTCTTAAGGATAGTTATTTGGTAGGATATCTTTGGTTACCTTCTTTAGATTTCTTTTGTGATTTTATATAATTAAATATATATTTTCAATTAGAAATATATTTTCTGACAGTTTTTATTATAATGATATGCTATCGATATGGTAACCCTATGTGTAACTGACAGGTTACATTATTGTCGTTTGTTTTTTAAAATAATTTTTTGAATGTTTTGAGTTCTGAACCTTCACATTAATTTTATTTTAAAACATAACTACTCGTTCTATAAAACATTATTCTATGATTGGAGTTCACTGATAAGTGAGTTGATTTATTTTTCTTTGTCAGATTTGTACAATAGACTTAAGGTGTATTTTCACGAACACTTAGTCCATATTAAAGCCCTTTTTCATCTGGCAATGGTATTATAGTTCTATTCGGATAATTATCGCAGTATTTCCAAATTTGTATATTTGAATTCCAAGAAACTCTCTTTGACTTAAGGGTTTGTGGATCTGTTTCTGGAATGTCATTGACATTTTGTTCATATCTTTCATTCTGTATGTCATCTAATTTAGCTGGGGGTAGAATTGAAAATAGCTGCATAGAATTGACACATCTTTTTGACAAATCTCTTTGCATCATCATTTGATTCATTAAAATCACTGAAACTTTTCTTCTAAATGTATCTGAATTGATTCCAGTAGTTGGTTTTATTTGGAAGTATAAAGGAATACGGCTACCGATTTCTGAGTTAGAGACTTGAGAAAGTAAAGCTTGGTTGTAATTGTCTGAAGTGAATGGATATTTCAGTTTTGTACGGTAACCATTAAGTTTTCTTTCACTAATGAGTGGTTGATTGCTTAAATTTAGTCTGCTTGGAATGGTGCTATTAAGTAGACGCTTTGGTTGCTCCATAGTTAGAGCTGCAAAATCATGATTCAAAGTTTTATTTGATGTCAGAAATTTATTTTTAAAACTGTGAATCTCCAATTGCTGGCCAAGGATTTTATTATTTGGTGTGCTTATCAGCTGTGGCTCTTCAATTTCCATTGGCTCCTTTATGTTCTCATATTCATTGTAATATGTATTCATATTGAAATAATTTTAATGTCATATTTCTGTGTTTACTTTGCTGTTTTTTTATTTCCCATTTTTTATCGTGGTTTATCTTACTTGTTTAAGAACATGAATTAAGATTTTAAAAATATATTAATTTTGTTTTTACCCAATTTTCATGGTCATCTCATATTTATATTATCAAAATTTTTCAATTTACCACCTGACCTTAAATATATTTTAAAATACTACTAGTTTATTAACTATACTAGAATTAATAATCATTAGTTAATTTCTACCAATTATTTTCAAAAAACTAGATGTGTATTTTTGATTTATTATAATCATATATTTAGTTAAATTATTGCAGAATATCTGTCTCTAAAGGGCCCCTTACATGGTCAGTATTATTGAGCCGATATTATTGAAGCAATATAATTGAAGGCAATGTATTGAAGGGGTGCCTTACATGGGTCAATTATATTGAGTAAATATTATATCAGTTAAAATCTTGCGCCCACTAAACAAGCAGGTTTCCATAGAGGTAATCTTTCTTTTTTTTATGGAAATGAATAACAATGAATTTCCTCCCTCCAAAAAAAATAAAACAAAGTATCACCCACTTACCGAAATATATATCCATTTTATCTTTTAAAAAAAATATCGGAGGTGAGGGGGAGGGTCAAATCCTCCCCCAAAAAAAATAAAAGTATCGCCCATCTACCAAAACATATGTATATCCGTTATATCTTTTAAAAAACTATCAGAGAGAGATTAATCCTCCTCCCCTTCAATAAAAAATAAATAAATGGATGTAAAATAAAGTATCACCCACCGAAACATATGTATATCCGTTTTATATCTGAAAAACAAAATCGGAGGGGGATAACCTCTTTCTCCTCCCCAAAAAAATAAATGAAAATAAAACAAAGTATCACCAACCTACCGAAACTTATATCCATTTTATCTTTTAAAAAATCAGAAGGAGGGTTAATACCTCCTCCTCTCCCCTCCCCCCAAAAAAAGAATTAAAGTAAAAAAAGTATCACCCTCCCCTCTCCTACTCAAACATATTGTTAGGGGGGGGGCACTGGAAATTTGGTATCGTCCAGAGCTTTTCAAGAACCATATAAATGTGGTTTAATATTGCTTAATATAGTCCTTACACATACAATTATATTGACACTGTTTCAATAATATTGAAAGAGCTTCAATAAAAATAAAAACAATTTGATATCAACCTGTTTGATTGATCTCAATATAATAGATGTCAATGTAGTCCTTACATAGTCAATATAATGACGAAATATTCATTGCAATATGTATTCATATTGAAATAATTTTAATGTCATATTTCTGTGTTTACTTAGATTTTTTTTTTTTTTTAATTTTCCATTTTCTGCAAGCTTTATCTTGCCTGTAAAATAACATTTATTTATTTATTTTCCAGTAAATTTGCCATTTTTTCATCAAGCAAATGCGTTGGCGTTTATTCTATCTTCTTGTATTCTTGATACTTGTTTAACTTGTCAGTAGAACATCTCTAGGCCACTGTCTTTTTAGTCGTCGTTGACACGCACTATGTAACAGGGAGGAAGATAGAGATAGAACGAGTGGATTTGGATGATTAAGAGTAGAAGAATGAAATGTTGTGTATGTAGGATTTTACTTTTGATATGTTCATGTCTGTGTGTATGGTGTGATTTGAAATAAACCAAGGAGCATTGATGACTTTACAAAGTATTTTGGATTGTGTGGTTTGAATTTTGTTTATGTGTGTGTGTTTTGCGGAATCCCAAAGTTCTGCTCCGTTTGTCCAAATAGTTCTTAGTATGGTGGTGTAGATTAGTCGCTTGTTTTGTAAATTGAGTAGAGATCTGTAATCGAAAAGATGTCACAGTTGTTTGTATCGTCAGGTCAGTTCTTGTTTTTTTTTAATTTAGTGTGAATGTTCCAGGTAAGTTTTTGTCCAAGTATAGTGCTAGATACCGTACTATGTGTTTTTGAGGGAACTGGTTTATTGTCTATTGTCACAGCAGGACACGAGATCTTTCTCAGGGGGAAGCTAACATGAGTTGATTCGCTGGCATTGATTTTAATTCTCCATTTGTGAAACCATTTTTCAAGGTCGTGGAGGTGATTTTGAAGGACTGTTATATAACATGTGTTATAAAATAACATGTTAAGATTTTTAAACACCAGTAAAATAACATGAGTTGAGATTTTTCTAATGTTCTAATTTTTACTTCTTCATACTTCTTTGTTGTTATCACCTTGTCCTTAACAGAGTGAGATTATCAAGCTAATATTTTCCAGGACCACTGTGAAATAAATATTTCCTGACTTACCTGGTGGGAATTGAATCCATTTTTGGAACTGTGCATTGTGGGGCCCATATTCTCAATATGGATTCTACTGTAGTATTTTACATGGATAGTTTTTCTCCAATTTGACCTTGAGTCCACATAATATATAGAGGAAATTTCATGAAAAGTAGTGTTTATTTTAATTTCCTATAGTTGTCGTAGTACCCAGGCATGGCTCTTCATTTTGAATTAAATTAAGTAAATTAGATTTTGAATTTGAACATTATTTATATTTTAAATTTCTTCCTTTGATCAATTAGCGTGAATTGGTCCCATAGAGTGAATAAGTTGTAAAAATTCCATTTTTAATGGTGAAATGATAATTTTATTGAAATAGAAAAAATATTGACAATAACTTGAGTAATCTTCTCAAAGAAAATTATCCGATTTATGTTTAATACTTAGTAAGGAAATACTATTTCCAGAACAAAAGTTGTGGAACGAAGTGATTTTGTCTAGACAATGCTCATCTCGTTTTCCTCTGATTGAAGGTAGTTACTTTATTGTGGCTGGTTATGACCCCTGTGTGGTCTCCTGTTGCCATAGTTGTTCCACGACTGAAGTAACAGAATTATAATTAACTACTACAGTTGGAATAAAGCCGTACCCTGGAGATAGGTTATAATTAACTGCTACAGTTGGAATAAAGCCGTACCCTGGAGATAGGTTATAATTAACTGCTACAGTTGGAATAAAGCCGTACCCTGGAGATAGGAGCTATTCATCCCCCTTTATTCAAAACTAAGGAATTTCTAATAGTAATGGGATGTGAAATATTTTCATCCAATCACCATGACAATGAGGCTTTACCACAATTAATCTTTCATAATATCGCCAAGGGGGATATTATATAAGTTCTATATAACTTGAAGAATGTGCATCAGTAATGAGGGATTTTCAACTACCCTCTGGAGGTTGTAAGAGTGGTACATTACTATATAGAATGAAAATATGAACTAAGGTGTATTTTTATGTAAAATTAAAAATACATACTTATCAGTGAATAGAAAAAAGAATATAATTTATGTATATACTCCAATAAAAATTACATTCACATTATTAATAAAGGAAACATTCAAAATTAATTAATTTCAGATGATTTTTTAAAAATTATTATGTTGTTCTTATAAGGAGAAATAACATTATGAATTAAATCACTCACTGTCACTTGAGGAACAGTGGGCCGAGAAAAATACTTATGTATGACTTAATAAATTTCTTCTCTTAAAATAAATTTAGTTTCTTATACACAAAATGTATCATTAATACAATATCTATATGTTCTTAGTCTAACTATTTACATAATTGTATGCTTTTACACTTTTTTTCTCTTTTAAAATATATATTTTACAAATATAAATTTTTAATTGTTATATTTATATTAATTATCACTTCCAGTCTTAAATTAAATAAGATAGATTGATTCAATTCTTGTTTAACTTTTTTTATTAAATTTTAATGGCAGTACTTATTAATTTTTAATGTTTGAAAAATAATTCCTAGAAAAATGTCTTTGTATGTTTGATCTCAAAGCTCGTATTTTTTTTCAGTCTCAACTCGTGATATCATTTCCAGTAATATCCCATCCAAAACTTCTTTCAACGGCCATTTTCCATTTGCTGTATCTGTCATTTCGTTCTGAAACAAAAAGTAGTGGTATTAAATATTTGAGATATTTCATTTGTTATTATTTTAATAACAACACTAAATTGATTTTCTTATTATTATTTATTTTGAATTATAATTCTCAAAAAATAACGTAAAATAAATATTTCTTTTTATGTAAGCTAACGCTGATGTAAATAATTATTATTGTTGTCCCACATAAAATCAAGACATCTTAAAAAAAAAAAAAAAAATATATATATATATATATATATATATATATATATATATAAATGAGTATGTATTTATATATATACAAATTAAAATGCAATATTGAAGATCCAATTCGAGATTAAAGTTTATTTTCAATGTACAAATCTACCACATTTGTAGACTGTATACCTAACTTCCCCTATACTCTTTAATAATTCTCTATATAAATGCTCTCCAATTCCTAGAAACCATTCCCACATATGTAAACATCATACTAAGTTTCTATTTTAGTTTGTTGCCTATGTTCTTAGCAAAAGATCATATTTCTGTTCATTTAAAATGCCAAAAGTATCTTCATCATTTTCATCAATGTTGAAATCTTGGATTATTAAATCTTAAAACAACAGACATGAAATAGTTCTTATAACTGATGGAAAACAAGTGATACAAGGGTAAGTTGTAACTTTAAATGAAAAATGAAAGAAGCTTCTATAAAAATTCAGGATACATAATTCTGGAAGGTATTAATAAAATTTAAATGGCAAAGATTAAATGTGAACAATTGTTCACAGTGATATTGACACCAACCTGGTAATTTTAAATGGATATAAATTTGTCTCTATCATGCCTTTTGATGTAGAAAGATCATTTTCTTATTATAAAAATATTTTATAAAAGGTTAGGTTTCACAGAAGTAAATTTAGCAATGTTTTTTGTAATTAATTTTAATACAGAACATGTCTGCAAAGTAGACTAATTCAAATGTTTTAACTATTTTACGCTATTTATTCCATAATTTGTTAATTACGTTATTTTTTTAACAAATACTTATGTTAGATTTTTATTATAATCTACAAATCAATGCAGAGCAAAGATAGATAATACTATTATAAAAAAAAAATGATAATTTTATAACTTTTTTTTCTCAGCTTCCAGGGCTAGAACACTTGAATATGAGTCAAATATTTTTCGATCTAGTTTCGCCCAAAAAAAAAAGTTTCATTGAATTTAGTGACCCCACCTCCTTAACCTCCGTTTGTCAGTAATATATTTCTGTACTGTTAGTAAATAAGAGTACTACAATGCTCTTCTGCGATTATGTTTTGAGCAAGTACAATAACAGATTAATATAATAGTTATGGGATTGCTATGTCATAGACTATCTTGTTAATATTATATTGCATTTGTGAATAAACATGTTTTGCTGATGTCGAATATATTAGGAAAAAGGATAGCTATCTATCGTGAGGGTCCTAATAAGGAACATACTACTAAAGAGTTTTTTAAATAAATATGTTAATAGTACTTGTACCTTTTTCTGTGATTTTGGGGTTGAAAACATCATTAGGTCCTGGAGAAAGGTGTTCGATATCCAAAGCGCCCACTCCTTCTGCTAATCCTGCAGCGATTGCTGCTCCTAGCGACGTTGTTTCAGCCATATGAGGTCTCACTGTTAAACAAATTAAACTATTAAAAAATGAAACACTAAATTTTATGTATATTTTAGATTAATCTATAATTAGTTAAAATAAAATTTATAAATTCCTTTTTTCAAGTTTATTTATTATCAGCCATTTTACATCAATTTTCAAAATTTTGTAAACTTAATGAGTACACATCTAATTACAATGTTTCGGCTCGTTGAGCCATTTTCAAGTCTAAAAAATTTTTTACAATTTTCAATCATATTTAAAACATTACATACCTCAACATATAGAGATTCTTTTTATATACCTAAATACCAATCATGTACCTGTCCTTTTCACTTATGCAAATTGCATGCGTCTACTCATAATAAAAATTTTATATGTTTAAAATAAATAGTCTTCCCCTACTCCTTTAAGAATAACCAGTCACCGAATAGAAATGAGATTGATGACATATCGGTGACACATGATAAGATAGTTTTAACTTATTTGAATCATTTAATAATAAATAATCGAGATAATGTTATAAAATAATTAAACGTGGACATGACAAAAATAAAATTTTTTATTATGAGTAGACGCATGCAATTCGCATAAGTGAAAAGGACAGGTACATGATTGTTATTTAGGTATATAAAAAGAATCTCTATATGTTGAAGTATGTAATGTTTTAAATATGATTGTGAATTGTAAAAATTTGTTTAGACTTGAAAATGGCTCAACTAGCCGAAACTTCGTAATTAGATGTGTAGTCATTAAGTTGACAAAATTTTGAAAATTGGTGTAAAATGGTTGATAATAAATAAACTTGAAAATAATGGTATGCACCGAAGAAGAATTGGAGAAATGTTGTGTTTATAAATTCCATTTACGTTTAGGGGACGTTAAAATTTAAATGATAAGATCGTATGCTGAAAGTTGATAAAATAAAAACTTGATTGAAAGTATTTTTTTCAAATTTCAATTAAGTATCAGCTTATGTATAGTATCGGTATTTTCTTCTTTTTTTTTTTTGTCAATTACAAAGATTATATATAATGAACTCTATTTCATAGAAGAAATTGAATGAGAATAATTTTCTCTGAGAGATAAACATAGCTGCTTAAAAAACAGGTGCAACATTTATTTAAATGGAAAATTTTTATTTGACTGATTTTTAGTTATACTTAAATATTATGTATGATCCAATGTACCTTAATGAAAATTCATTACTAAAACTGTAAAGGGAATAATGAGCTTAGCACAGAATTCCATTTTGTTACGTAATCAACAAAATTTCTATGAAATTTATCATCTGTCTTACCTACGGGCACTCCGCACAAGTCGGCTTGTAACTGCATCAGTAGATTGTTTTTAATCATACCACCGTCTACCCATAATTCGGATAAAGGAAGTCCTGTGTCTTTGTGCATTGCTTCCAAAATATCCCTTGTCTGGAAGCAGATAGCTTCCATCGCTGCCCTAAGTATGTGACTTCTTTGGGTCTCTTCCGTTATACCACAAATCACACTAAAATATAAAAATTCATGGTTTTAACCAACGCTAACTCTATTTTCATTTAAAGTAAATTTTTGTCTAATTCACTAAGAAACAATTTTTTATTACCTTATTTAAATAAAAAAATCAATTATTAGAGAAAAAATATCTAATGCTTACGTTCTTGCAAGGATATACTAATATTAGTAAATTGTGTAATTTTTATTTTGGAATGTTAACTATTAAATAATGACTGCTTTGAACTGTATTAGTAGATTAATCCATCTTTCATCATCCATCCATCGAATTTTTTTATCATTTTGTTTAAGACCATCTACTGTTTCTATGGTAAAGAGCCTTAGCTGTTTATTAAATAATATTTTCAGCATTTTTGAGAAACCATTTATTTGAATTTTAGTGATCTTTTCTATTAAACTTGAATTCAAAGGGTTTTGTGGTTTAAGATATCTTGCAATGAAATGAATTTATTGTAATATATTTTATGGATTACCCTCTTGCATCAGATTGCCAATATGGAGCGTATAACCCTGAGAACGCTGGTACGAAATAAACATCACCAGAATGGTGAACTGACATGGCCATGGTCTCGATATTCTTCACCTCGTCTACGAGACCAATATTATCTTTGAGCCATGCCATTGCAGCTCCAGCCACCGCTACTGAGCCTTCCAGTGCGTATACTGGCTTGGCTTTTTTCCCTAACTGGAATGCTATTGTTGTTAACAAGCCCGCTTTCGATATAGCTTTCTACAAAAAAAAAAAAAAAAAAGAAAAAGCAATTAATCATTATTATTTAGTCAATATATTTAGTTAAAATATATAACTTAAAAGTAAGATTACATAAATTCAAAACATGAATAAGACATCTCACATTAAGTGGTCTTAAAAGTACTAACGTACCAGAGGTAGCTCCAATACATTTGGGTATAAACTTGATGTGTTGTATAGATAACAATGTTATTCTGTTTTGATGATGCTTAAATCAGCAGAATTTTTGGTTAGTTATTTACCACCATTTTAGAGACCTGTGGTTTTGTTGCTTTGGTTTTATTCTGCTAATCAGTTTGAATTAACGACCGTAATTGTTATTAGATTTAGTAAATTGTGATAAATTGGTTTCACTCACTTGTTGATTTTAATAGCTTATTTTTGTTTTATGTCAACTGTGCTTTATAGTCAATGCCTTATAAATTTTAGATTACTTTAATTTAATAAAATTATTCACTTCGAAAACTACATTGAATTTTTCATACTTATGGATAAGAAGAGATATTTGTCCTCTTTGGTCCAAAGTTTTCGGGATTACTTCTGCATTATTATTGTATTATCTATTTCATTTAAAATATAATTAGTAAACACAAGATGAAAACCTCATTATTACTTACACTGCATATTTTTGAAATCAGCAAGAGTTTTAACAGTTCGAGTGTGCTTAAAACACAAATGCTTAACAAGTTTCTTGGCTTTGACAAACTTAGGTTATATGCGTACTCCTTATTCCCTGAAATCTGCTAAGTTAAGTTCAAAACTTAAATTTATTTTTAAATTTTGAAAAAGAAAAAAAATTAATTTACTTTTTTAAATATATAATTTATGAGGAAAAGTTATATTGGTTATTAATTTTTTATAATTAAAGGCACTTTTACATTGATCATTATTTATTTATGAGATTCTCTAATACGACGTTTAGGATTTTTGGCCCGTTTTCGAGGACAATTTATCATGGTATTTGCTATCTATAATATATAATCAAAATACCTTCTCAGTAACCATCTTATTGTCATGATGCTGCATGATAACATTTTTTAATTTGATTAAAACTATGTTTAAAACTAAAGTACATTTTTTTCTCTCAAATAATTGAGATGGATGCTGTTTTCACTGTCACATTTCTTCTGGGTCTTTGAGTTTGAATATAAAAATTATTAAATCGAGTGGAAACTTTTTTGAAAAATTATATGCATTAATTTTTATATTTAAGAATATTGTGAATAAAGTAATGAATGAAAAGGTGGGAACTTTATGTGAACGTTCTACTATACTTATAGTGAAGGAAGGATGAACTCACTCTGTTGCCCGTGTTGTAGAGCAGGAAACACCCTGTGCCGTACGTGCTTTTTGCCTGCCCTTTTTTCAAGCACACCTGCCCTAAGAGCGCAGATTGTTGGTCTCCCACACACTAAATAGATGTATAATTATTTATTATTCTCATAAGAAGAAGAGAAAAAAAAAAGTTAATATCATGATAAATTAAAAATTATATACATTTAAGATTTTCAGAACTGATATAAGTATATCAATGATGTATAACATTCTTTAACTCTTAACATTAATGTTAACTCACCCCGGCGATTGGAATTCCTGCTATTGAGCCATGTGAAATCTTTGCATATATTTCTGAAGAGCTACGTATTTCGGGGAGTATTTCAATTGGAATTTCGAAGAATCTGAAATATAAAATATAAACAAAATTTAATTTTTAGTTTATTTGAGTTAAAAAAAAAAAAAAAAAATGAGAACTAGAAGTTATTACTTGCACAGATTGTTATCCCATGACAATGTGTCAAGATTCATTAGCATCGTACGTGATGCATTTGTCACATCGGTCATGTATAGTCCACCGTTAGGCCCTCCAGTAAGATTCTTTAATCAAATTTCAATTAGTATTTGTCTGTACTGTAAATAATAAGTATTTCATTTATAAAGATCATAGAATCAGTAACTTAAAATTATATAGCTCTAAAAAAAAAAAAAAAAAAAAAAATGGTGCACTCAGATTTTTGTAAATGTCTGAAATATTTTCAAGATTAAATCAAACTTTTTTTAAATGACTCGAAAAAAGGAATTGTGATTAAATATAAATTGTTTTATTAAGGTAGTGTAAAAATTGAAGAATAAGGCGAAATCTTGGATAAAGGGGCTATTTGTCTTGATATGATGGATAAACTACAATTCTTGCTTTTTTGCAATTTAGTAAGAGTTTTATTGTGAGTTCAATCGCCTTTCTTAACTAACTCAAATTATAATAATGTAAGAATAGAAGTTTAGAAATGAATACTGTTAATAAACTGCACCTAGTTTTCTCTAGGTGCAGTTTGTTTACAGTATTCATTTCTAAATTTCTATGCTTATATTATTATTATTAGTATGTTAAGATCTTTTATTTATAGAATGATTAGAGGAACAGAGTTTTAGTAAGGAATTATAGGATGGTGGGAGGATTTTTTGTTCTAATGAAGATACCAAGGAGATATTGCAGAAAGTAGGTTGGAGACATTTCAATTGGGTAAACCAACAAAACCAATAGCCATTTCTGTGATTATTCATCAAAAATTTCTTTTTTCTCTTTTTCTAGATTTTACCAATCTGCTTTATTATTTAAAAACATATCTTGAAAATTTCCTTGTTATTTTAAAAATCAAAGGTCATTATCGAACAAATATAAAAATTTGGATATTTTTGGACCACAATAAAAACATTCCATTTTTTTTCTTCTTTAAGTTTATCACATTATTATACAATATATATAATTTTTTAAAAGAAAGATATTTTATAATAAATTATACCCAAATTAACCATGTGTCAATTGTGCCCATCATCAACCTTCCTTGGTTTAGGGCGTTCCTGACCTCTTCTACATTATCTAATAGCCATTTCATCTTTAGTGCACTGAAGTAGGGGCTCAACGGAAGACCACACACTTTTTGATGAACATTCTTATTTTTATTAGGCACTTTTTCTAATAACATTTCGAGTGTGCTCGTTGTTCTCATGTCCAGCCACACTAAAAAAAAATTAATAATAATAAATAATACAAAATTAACTTATCTTTATGATCAGATTATTTTTCACCGAAGTTATTCCTTTACTTGATTTATTTTTATTATAATGAATGATTATTCAATATCTTTTGGCCATTAACAACATTAAATATAATTAATTAATAACTTAAGTTCAATGTATGTAATATTCAACTCTAACCATAGTGTTGGTAGTTTACAGTGGCTGCTGTCACATTAAATTTCAGTTTTGTGACTGATATTATCAGTGTATATTCTTGATTTATTTTGATTTTTTAGATAATTTTATTCCATATACTTTGGTAGGGTATATACTCAAATTAAGAGGCTTACAATGCTATGATAAAGCCAGTTCTAGTGTATGGTTGCGAGACCTGGACCCTAAACAGCACCCTAGAAAGAAGTATTGAAAGATTTGAAAAAAAAATCTTCTGCATGATAACCGGAGTGATTTGTGATTAGAATACTAACACATGGAGCAGGAGGAAGAATAAAAAGCTGCTTCCAGAAACTGGTCAACCAATATCACATAATATGAAGGCAAGGAGGTTAAGATGGGTAGGCAGGGCTTATAGCTTTGAGCAATCCATCTGGGATCCTCTAAACAAGAATGAATGCCTGAATAGAAGACAAAAGAGCACACAGAAGGCCAATGATCAGATTGATAAATAAAATCAATGAAGATGTAACAGAGTTGCATGTAGATAATTGGAAAGAAATAGTGCAAAATAGGCAGAGATGAAGGCTGATTAAGATGGAAAAAGATCTACAAGGCCTGCAATACCAACAGAAACTTTTTTTTTTTTTTTATATATACTGCTGTGCTCATATTATTATTTAATTAAGAGTTCCAACTTTATAGAGATTGGGTGTGCTAGAAGGATCTCTCTCTCTCTCTCGATCCAGGGTCAGAAAAATTACTTCTCATCAGCCGGTTTCGAACCTGAGATCTTGAGCTCTGGAAGTCAGTGATTACCCGCTAAGCTACTCTGCTCTCGATACATTTATAAAGCAGTCCTTAAATAATTTTTTTCTTTCTGCATCTTATTTATAGTGACTGTAAACAATATTTATTAATGGTAAAACGTTCTTGCTTAGGTTATGTTATATTGCTGCATTCTAATAGGCCATAGGACCATTAGAATTTTTTAAATAGGACTGATAGTTCTGAAATTAGCTCATTCAATTAAACCAACTCTTCAACTTTATATATTATTAAAGATAATAATATATTAATGTATTAATTTTTGTTTGTTTTCTCGATTGAATTAATAATAAATATTTCATTCATAATTTATATTTCAGGTCTACAGTTATTAGTGAGCCAGCTGAAAGACATCTCGGATGGTAGATCGAAGTTACTTTCAAGACGAACTTTGCATATCGTTGCACGACTTACCACAGGTATGGTGAGTAGTGTTTAAAAAATAGCTTTTATTTTTTCTTATATTGGATTCAAGTGCAAAGTGTTTATCGTACTTATTTTTATGTGACAAATTATTTAAATAAAAATGAATAATAAGTATTGTCAAAGAAATCTATTTATGATCCAAATAAATTAGCATTTCGCTGAATCAGATCTGTGGTTGAATGGAAATTTTTGGAAAAAAAAATCAGACAATGACGAAGATGGACAGGGTCTAGAAAATTAATTTTTAATTTAAATTTAACACCTGTATCTCATCCTAGACTCTAATCATATTATCCCTGATCACCAATTTGGATTCCGCACATCGCATTCCACTATCCAACAATGTCACCGTGTGGTTGATGCAGTCTCCTCTGCATTGGAGCTCGGTATGTACTGCACGGGAGTCTTTCTCGACGTTGAACAGGCGTTTGATCGAGTCTGGCACCTGGGTCTTCTGTACAAACTCCGAAAAGTCCTACCCTCTACATACTTCCTCATTATCCGTTCCTATCTTACTAATCGATACTTCAAAGTAAACCAAAATAATGTCTGCTCATCCCTCTTTGCTCAATCTGCAGGCGTTCCACTAGGTTGTATCCTCGGTCCCAACCTCTACACAGTTTATACAGCTGACATCCCAACCCATCCTGACACTGTCATCACCACTTACGCCGATGACACATGTTTGCTATCTGTTCATAATGACCCTTTAATTGCATCCTGAACTCTTCAATCACATATCACAAGCCTTGAAGAATGGTGTAAAAATTGGAGAATAAAAATAAATTCCAATAAATCCCATCAAATCACCTTTACCCTCTGTCGTAAACCTATGACTTCTTGTCGTATAGTATCCTTCAATAATAAACAACTTATTCCTGATGAGCAAATCCGCTACTTAGGACTCTACTTGGATAAACGTCTTACTTGGAATCCTCATACTAGACTGAAACGACAGGAAACTGCTCGACATTTCCAACTGCTCCAACACTTACTAGACAAATGCTCTAAATTTTCAATTAACTACAAAAGACTTATCTACATAACTATAATAAGACCTATATGGACATACGGAGTTGAGCTTTGGGGCTCCACCAAACCATCGAATTTCTATCGTATCCAATCCTTACAATCCAAAATCCTTAATGATCCATACTTTGTCACAAATAAAACCATTCATAAAGACCTTAATGTACCATATGTTGCTGATTTTGCTCAAACCAGATATCTATCCTTTCATGATAACATCCAGTCCCATCCAAATCCCCTTGTTTCTACTCTTGCTTCTTCCTCGATCCCTGATAATCCGCCTAGGCGTCTGAAAAGGAGATGGCCTCGTGATCTTCTTATTTAGAATTATTTAGGGAGTACTACTATTGGGTAGTATCTCTTCAAGCCTGTACATGTCATTATTTATAATTTGTGCATATTTACTAGTTGTATTTCTATACAGTTGTAAATTTCATTAAACAAACAAAACAAAAATAATTTAAATTTAATTAATTAGGATGATAGAAAAATTGTTATTTCTATTACTTAATTTAAAGAGGGAAATAACATCCTTTTTGATGCGTCTATGTGCTAGAGAATCAATATTTATATTGATGTCCATATTTTTAAAAAATGTTTATAATATCGATAAAAATATTGGCTATCGATATTTTGATGGTATTGGTAGTGTAGGCTGGTATTAATATCCATATTGTGCCTTCCATATAAACTCGTATTCGAAAATTGTTACAATAGCTATACTTTCTCTTAATGTATATTTTATGTGAATTATGAATATTTGACAGTAAAGAAACAAAAACAGAGACCTAAGATACATAAATAAATGAGGGATAATACAATGCGGACAATGTTATTAAGTGCATTGAAATAAACATTCAATATATGTTTTGAAAGCGAAGATGGGCATAATCATAATTAACGATTGCAGTGATTTTGATTACGTAATTACAGGATTGCAATCGTAATCAGGTTTTCGATGAAGGTTGCAATTAGGTTATCAGATAATCGCATCACATGTTTCTTTCACTTACGTATATATGTAATATATAGTAAGGGTAAGGATTGCGATCGAGAAAATTTTTGAATCTGAGTTTTCAACGGAAATACAAGTTTTGAGGCACCCTGAGTCGAAATGACCAAGTCCCGAAAAATGGTCTGTGTGTTTGTATGTTAGCAGTCTAGCTAAAAAACGAAAAGTTGTACGAAACTGATATTACGTATTTTGATTAAACTCGGTGTATCATTGTATAATTAAGTGGTCTTTAATATCATTTTGCTCTTATCCCCGTTGATGCCACATTAGAGCGCTTAAATGCCCAATGTTCATATGCGTCTTCCTCTAAAGTACCTTTAATATGGTTTATTTTAAAAAGTTAATCATTTCACATTATTCAGAGTTACGAAAAAAATGATAAATAAAACTTTTGAAAGAATTTGATAAGTTAATAAAGGAGAAAAATAAATAAATATGCAGAAAAACCTGCGTTGCTATAGACTAGCGCCTAAATGAATGTACCGATTTCAATGAAACTTCGCTAAAGTCATTTTCTCGACACCCTTTAAATTTATCTATATAACATACTTCAACGAAAAGAAGCTGGAAAAAAAGATACGAGGGATGGTAAAATTAAATTCCGAATAACTCAAAAAGTATACACTTTTTGTGAATATTGTTTATGTTTTTTGAAAGTTTATGGAATTTCCTAAAAAAAAAAAAAAAAAAAAATGCGTTAAAATCGGACAATTAGGAGGAAAGATATGGTCCCTAGTTTTTTCCCCTGAAGAGGCGAAAATTTGTATAAATTTAAAATATACTTTTTTAATTGTTGAGACTAACAAAACTTTTTTCTACAGATATTTAATAAAGTGTCTTTCCTAAGAACATCTTGCATAAGAAATAAGTACCTAAATTTACACCTTTATTCTCAGTTCTATATTTCAACACTGCAATCACCACCTCCGGAATCAACTCACTCATTTTCTACATAGATAACTTTTTCAACTAAAAATATCACTAAAATGACATCACTCAAAAATGTTGAAATTGGAGTTAGTCATTCTGTGGTTTGTAAAAGCAAAGGAAGTTGTGTGGTTTATAAAATCAGATGGAGTGACTAGATTTTTATTGCCTACCGTCGATATATTAAATAGACATTTTGTAATTATAATGGTCTTAATGACTTGTTATCTGTAAGCTTTAAGCTTTAGCTCCGTTTAAAATGCACTTGAAATTTTATAATAGCCCAGCATTGCCAGAAAATAATTTCTATTCAAAGTAGAGCGGTAAGTGAAAGTTGTGTGTTGCGCGCATCAGATTTTTTATATATGTATAGCACAATCAAGTATAAAATTGCCATGATCATTAAGTTTTATTTTCAGTTATAATCATTGATTTCTATTTTGCCCATCTCTGTTTAAAAGTCAATTAAGTTATCTTGTACAAATACGTAAGCAAGAACATGTTCGTTAGTGAGCGATGTTGAGCTGTTACGTAAGCCTAATGAAACATCGATTAGTTATTCATTAAATATTTATATATTCTCTATGAATTAGTTTCTTGTA